TAGTCCCAGCTACTCCGGAGGCTGAAGCAGGAGGACTGCTTGAGCCCAGGAGGCAGAGGTTACAGTGAGCCAAGATCATGCCACTGCATTCTGGCCTGGGTGACAGGGTGAGACCCTGTCTCAAAAAAAAAAAAAAAAAAAACCCTTGCAATTAGCCTTAAGAAAAATTTGCAAGCTTTTATTTTGTGTCTGAAGGAGTTTACACTCTGAATTCTTCATCAACAGGGTGTCAAGGTAGCAGCTTTCTGCATTGACTGGTGATTATCCTTTTCTGATATAAGACCCTTAACACTTTTAATTTTTTTTAATTACCATTTGTAGTGTTAGACTATTTTTGCACAGCAATTTTTGTGTCAGATCTTGTAGGTTTCACTTTGAGATGATACAGTGGGATGTTTCGTCATTTAAGCAGCCCTGTCCCTTCCCCACTGCCTGCACCCAGCACTGTATTGCAGAGGCCCAGTTTGGGTACTTATCTTACAGAGACACTGCCTTCTTCATGAAATCGTCCTAAAAATAGCTTCATTTAACTAGGCCATTTGACAGGCTTTTTCAGACTTTTTCTCAGACCAGTCTGAAAGCCGGATATTATTTCAAACAGATACAATGAACATTGAACTTGATCACAAGGCATCTGTTACCCTATTCAGGCTGCTGGGAGTTGATAAGACTGCCTCAAATCACTGTGTGCAGTTAAAGGCTGCAAAAGCCTCAGGCCACAAAAATTCCTCAGCCCAGGGGCCCAGAGACAGTTTTTCCACCTCTCAGCATCGAGGGTGTACCTTAGCCCGTTTTCTGTTGCTACAACAGAACACCTGAAGCCAGGTGATTTATAAAGAAAAGAGGTTTATTTGGCTCACGGTTCTGCAGGCTGGGAAGTTCAAGGACATGGCCCTGGCTCCTGGCGAGGGCTTCCGTGCTGCGTCATAACATGATGGATAGGGTCAAAGGGGAGGTGGATGCATGCCAAGAGGGACAACCCAGGGAGGTTCCTGGGGTTATGATATCCCACTCTTAAGGGAACTCATCCAATCCCTAAAGTCTGGTCAGAGCAAGAACTCATTCACTGCCAGGAGAATGGCACCAAGCCATTCATGAGGGGATCCACCCCCATGACCCAAACACCTCCCTCTAGACCCCACCTCCCAGTACCCCCACGCTGGGGATCAAATTTCAGTAGCAGTTTTGGTGGAGACAAACCATAGTAGGGTGAGTAGGTACTCTCACTTGCACCTGCCTCCTTGGGACCATGAAGCAGGTTGCGGAAGGACAAAGCTCTCTTTGTCAGGCTTGTCTGGTGCCCTGGGCTGTCCCCAGAAGTAGACTTGCCCATCTCTGACAGGATGGGCCACATCCAGGACTCTGGCATCCAACATGACATATAGCCCAGTGAATACTGGACAAATTCTAGGGATATAGGGCAGAAGGGACCTACGGCCCAGCATTCAGAGAGAGCTCACAGTGTGAGCACCCAATGAAAACTCAAACCTGCAAACCAGGACTCGAGACAGTGCTACTCCCTGAGACGGAGCCGCTAGGAGGGTCTGGGAAGGACAGAGTGGGTGGAAGTAGGAGATGAGGTTCCCTGGGAGGAGAAGGCATTCAGGCAGGCAGCGCAAGTGGAGGCTGCAGAGGAAGGCCTGGCTCTTCGGGGTCCCGCACATGGTGGGAGTTGTTGGAGAACAGGGCCCTGAGAATGAGTGGCAGGTAAGGCCAAGAGGAGGAAGGAGCCTTGGTGTAGAAGGGCCGTGCGTGTGGCTGAGGGAGGGATTGCATCCTGAAGGCAGCAAAGTGCAGGTGCGTGTGGACTCAGAGCCATAGAATGAGAGCCCTCAACCCCAACCAGGTCCCTGTGGCTGTAACATTGGCTCCGCGGCCCTTGGGCATGCTAAAAAACCTTCCTTGGGTCACAGACAGTTCTAGCCTGTGGCCTCCTAACAGAGACCATCCTCAGGACCTGCTTGCAGACGTTGGGGTGGTGGTCTGCCCGGGTTTCCTGCTCTAACCTCCCATAGGCTTTTGGAGTTGGCCATGCCCTTCTCAAAAGGACTCTCCAGGCTGGGCGTGATGGCTCATGCCTGTAATCCCAGCACTTTGGGAGGCGAAGGCGGTTGGATCACCTGAGGTCAGGAGTTCGAGACCAGCCTGGCCAACATGACAAACCCTCATCTCTACTAAAAATACAAAAATTAGCCG